CTAGTTTAAAAAGAATGAAGCCACAATTGGGTTGTGATCTGAAATTTTCTTGCCTTGTTCCTCCCCAACCCTACATGTTTTTACGCCTGGTATCAGTGTGTAAGTTATAAGCATGTGATCAATAGTTGATTCGCAGAGATGCTCGCCGTTAATGCCTTGAAATTTTCTTCTGGCCCTTTGCACATCTCATTCAAGTGTAAAAAGATTAAGCCCATTTGTTCCATGGTGCTCAGTAGCTCTCTGCCAAATCTGGAAGGCTGACCTCTGCCTCTCTATTATTAAACCTCCCTCATGACCCAGGTCTGCATTTAAGTCCCCCAGCGGAAGATAACACTTCCCTCATTCTCGTACGTTCTGAATATATCTGCCATGGCTTTCAGTTGTTCTCTATATTCTTCCATGGGGGAGGTTGCATGTGGCAGGTACACAGCAAAGACAATCAATTTCTAGCCGTCTGTATTGTATTCCTATCAGCCAGCTGTCATTTCCATTTTCCAGCTTGTGTACTGCATAATTGTTTCTTAAAATAACAGTACTTCACCTCCCTGATATCTCCTCACTGTCGCAGTGACGCTTAGTCAATGTGCTGTCTCCTCTTTTCCAGCCTCTGTGGGTCTCCAAAACTGTCTCTATTGCCATCATTGCATCTTCATAAAGTCAGTGTTCTGATATTGCTAAGATATCTAGTTTGACGAGATTTGATCTGATTCACGGTAGTGCACACATCAGACTTCTGCATCTGGTGTTATAGCAACAAATTGTTATTTTCTCCTGCAGCATATCATCACATTTTGAAGCCATTAAGACCCCTCCTCAAGTTGTTTGCCCCTCCCTCCCGGTCAAGATAGGGTTATTAGACAAGTACTGGCTATTAACCGACAGGGGTCAATGTAGGGCCTACTGATATCGATGGTACTGCGTCACGTCGGTGGGGAGGGGGGCGGCATACGCCATTGTTGTGTCCCCAGCCTTCTCAGGTTTCTAACCTTGCAGCACGGGCTGAATTAGGGAGGTACCCTTTGAACTTAGATGCCTCCCTAAACGCCATAAAGCATTTTATCAGAATATGCCTAAATGTGCCAACTGGGAGTCTCAATGCCGACGCACTCTTATGTCAATTAGAATTAGATAGACTAGGCAGTAAATGTTGGGCATCTGGTGTACGGAAATCTTTAGAGGAATGCTGTTATGCCTTTGTTTGGCATTCTCCCCTATCAATTGCTTCAAAAGTGCATGCAACCATCTCCTCCATTCACCAACGTTTGAAAGCATTTATTTTCAAAAATTCCAACGCGAAATTCATAATGACAACAAGTCCCAAAACGCAAAGAACAAACTGCGCTCGTACAGACTATTCAACTCTACTTAAAATCCCAAACGGAAGTCAAAGAACCACCATCACCAAACTACGAATCAGCTGTCATAAACTCAGCATCGAAACAGGAAGGCACAACCGCACACCTCTGGAGCAAAGGATTTGCCAATTTTGTAGCTCAAACAAAGTAGAAGATGAATTCCACTTTATCGTTGATTGTAGTTTATATAGTAATGATAGAAATGACATTTTCAGCTATATCACAAGTACGTTCCCGTACTTCCAATACTTGACTAATATTGAAAACTTTATCTTTCTTATGCGCTTTAAATAAACACATTTCAAATTATATTTTTAACATCATGTGGGGTCGTGTGGTGCATCGGCAGCGTGCGCGACTCGGAATCAAGAGGTCCCGGGTTCGAGTCCTGACATGCCACCGATCTTGTGCCCTTGGGAAAGGCACTTAACGCGACTTTCCCCACTAGACTCAAGTGAAAATGAGTATTGTCTGTCCAGTATTTGTTTCTATGTGCGGGACAAAATACCAGCAACAGCTGCCTCTGTTCCGCGTGTATTGCACTGTTACAATTTCAATAAATAAAAAAAAATAAAAATAAAAATAAATCACTAAGAAACGAGAAGCCGAACCTTTGTATTAGTGTAGTCTTAGAGCTATTTGTACTACAAACATGTATATTATCCTTTCATCTGTTCACCTGTACTTAGGCCGATAGGGCATGAATGTAAAATAAAGGTTATTATTATTATTATTCACATACAGTTTCGGTCCCCACAGTCATTCATTCATGCGATATATTTCTCAAGGATACCATGCCTCCACGCACGTGCTACCTGCGTCATTTCTTTGGTCCTTGTTGTCATAGTGACTACTCATGTCACTCGTCCTTATTGTTGGCATGTGTTTTTGTGACAACCTGTTCGGAACATTTGACGACATTAGAATTGCAGAAGGACCCATTGTGTATATGACCAGGCCCTAACTTAGTGACGCAATACCTCTCAACAGGCTAAATGAGGCTACCAAACCATTCTATTTCATATGACTTTATAATAATAAACAACACTTATCTATAATGGACAATCATTTCGAAAATTGTACAATAGCTTTTCCGCTCAAGTTTTTGTAAGAGTAAGAACGACACAGACCAGGGAAGCTATTTTGAGTTTTTTTTTCAAAGAGTCGAGGCTATTTGCATAGTTACAGACCCACGTCAGCGAAAGACCACGCCAATCTATTCTCGTCACGCTGTTACAAACGTTTTCAGCATTCCAGAGTGACGCCGTCTATTCTCACCTGTAGGTAATGTCATTAATATTTCCATTTTAATTTTTACCAGGCGATGTCCCATGTCATTTGTCGTCGCCATGGTGGCAGCGCGGTCTTTAACAACTTTACCGGAACGAGGATGTGTGCCTCTCGTCTGACACTACACTACCCTTTGTAATGTCTCAGCATTTTTGTGATACAAATATAGCTGTCATATTTTGTACCTTGTGCATAGGTCATACAATAAAGTTTATTGCCAGTCTTTAGTTAACAACCATCCCACCAGGAACACGACAGTGATGATGACGACGGTAATGCGGATTTTTATTTAGATTGAAAGACCTTTATTGTACGTTTGTGCTCTAACAAGATAAGTACAGGTCATGGATAAACAGGGCAAAAAGAATACAGCAAATACACAAACTATACATACTAATGTGATCTACTATTTACAGGTTCAGCTTCTTCTCGCTTCTTGACACAGTTAAAGATGTACGAACATATTGATCTATCAGTGATTTATTCCCTCCTCCCCTGGTGACCGAATGACTAGTACGTCGAGACGTAAGTCGAATAAAAACGTAAGATTAGTACGTCGAGACGTAAGTCAAGTACAAAGTAAGACTAGTACGTCGAGACGTAATTCGAATACAAACAGGAATGGGCTAGAAATGACAACAATAATAACCGATTGTGTCATAATAGTCTGGGTGCGATCCTCCATGTTCACTATGTTCCACCTGTTGATGACTAATCATGACAGCTGAAGCACATTTATCCTGTGATGGGAGGTGGGGGGGTCGTTAAGTATAAACGTTTTAGTTTAATAGCGATGATCTTCGTTGGCTCTTGTGTGCCTCTCAGGCATACTAGTACTTGTATGTCTGCCCCCAACCACGAAAAAATAGACAGCATTCAAGTTGATCATATCAGTGACTTTTCTCTAGCTTTATGTTACGACGCCCCCCAATTAATATTGCAATGGTTTCACCCTGACTGACAGGATACATAAGTAATGAGAATTTTCTGCGCACCTCCTGACTGAGTTGAGTTGTTCCTGACGTGGTCTCGATTCTACCGAAAATATATCGTTAGGAACAGTGCTAGCGGGGTCGTGTTGACTCAGCAATTAACTTTCCTACCATTCTTTTTAACCATCAGGACAACTATAATCAAACCATAAGGGCAGGCAAGCGGTACAGTAGCATTGGGGGAGCATTTAATGTGCCTCCTCTTTTCTTAGTTTTTCTTTTCTTGGGGAAGTGTATCCCTAAGTTTATATTAGTAAGTATAACCCTTGCTATGAACAATGAGCAGATTTCTTTGTGTGGTCTGTCAGCTCCCTGCATTATGCAGGCGCCATATTGGATCTACAGTACTATTTTGTCATGCGGAAAAACAGCACAATTACTAATCAGAATTTTACCAAATTAGGCTATTGGAAACCTCGACCTTGACACATTTCACCTTTGCAAACATAGTCGTTTTCGTTGGTGATGAGGGGGACCGGCTCAGTGTTTTTCACATATCAGCTCACTGTTGTGTAAAAGTAATTTTTGTAAGAGACAAAAGATGCACGGTTTACCTGAACTGTACATTTTTGTCAAATGTGTATTGTGTTGCCATGGTCAGAGACGAGACGGCGCCTATGTCTTCTTTTATAAGGGAGGTTTAACTTCCTTGGTTATATTTCATTTTCTGGAACATTGGAGAACACGAAGTTGAAAGCTTTACACAGTTAAACTGCTTTATGTGTTGATGCAAGGACGTTCTACAGTTGATGGTAACATTTCGGAATGACAACAATAATAACCGATTGTGTCATAATAATCTGGGTGAAATCATCCATGTTCACCATGTTCCACCTGTTGATGACTAATCATGACAGCTGAAGCACATTTAACCTGTGATGGGAGGTGGGGGCTTCTTTAACTATAAACGTTTTAGTTTAATAGCTATGATCTTAGTTGGCTCCTGTGTGTCTCACAGGCGTGTCTCCACCCAACCACGAAAAAAATAACAGAATTCAAGTTGATCATATCAGTGACTTTTCTCTAGTTTTATGTTACGACGCCCCCCAATTAATATTGCAATGGTTTCACCCTGACTGACAGGATACATAAGTAATGCGATTTTTCTGCGCACCTCCTGACTGAGTTGAGTTGTTCCTGACGTGGTCTCGATTCTACGGAAGATATATTGATAGGAACAGTGCTAGCGGGGTCGTGTTGACTCAGCCATTGACTTTCCTACCATTCTTTTTAACCGTCAGGACAACTATAATCAAACCATAAGGACAGGCAAGCGGTACAGTAGCATTGGGGAAGCATTTAATGTGCCTCCTCTTTTCTTAGTTTTTCTTTTGACGTGTTTGAAAGCAAGCGAGAGAAAAACATGACAGGATTCCAACTGTGTTGTGCCGTCGCAATCTGCTGTGCCTTTGGTATCGCTGCGCAACCAGGTGAGTAAATGCAACAATAATATATTATTTTAAACGGACTTCCAGTTTTCTCTACGAAAAAAGCGTTTGCTTGTTTTGTTTTAGTAAGCTAGTGTGGTTGTGCAGATGCCGATGACTTGGCGTCATACATATATTTACCCTACATTTGCAATGATCCGGACTGATCCGAGATGAACACTTAGATGTAAGAAACACTGCACGAAAATCAAAATATCCGGACCCTTTCCGCGCCTGTACATGTCCCGTGAAACTTGGCTTCCCGCGTGTGTCCCAGTGTGTGCAGGACATATCGGCCACGGTGCGTTTAGTTTTGTTGATACAGCATCTCATGCCGTAATATGTGATTTAGTTGTGACATTAGACGAAAGTAGTACTGTATTAAAAGCATTATATTACATCCGCGGATCCAGAGGGGGCGCGCGCACCCGCCCCCCCCCCCGTTCGACCGGGCAAATAAAATTTTAGACGACTGGCCAAACACAAAATTGCAGAAAAAGACATAACACAAAGAATAGAAAGGAAGCCTATGGTTACGACCATAGCTGGGG